AAAAAAACCCAAAATTTAATAAAATATTTTATCTGCATCAAAATATTCTTTAGAAACCAAAAATAAAAAATGTATCATGAATGTTCTTTCAAGTTGATCTGTAAAAGTCAGAAAAATACATAGTTCATGTTATCAACGTTCTGAAAATACAGAGTTCTGAATATCCCTTAAGCATAAAGCAGAAGGCTGTATGTCTTACTGACCCAAAGCGGCGTGTTCCCTGGATTGGTTTAAAGGATTCCAGTTCCATCCCTAGCAAAAAACATTTGTGTTTTAGTCAAACTGAATCAAATGACCTGACTTCAATACAGTATGAGTATAGCTCAAGCTGCGTCTGAAAATGTTCCTTCAGAGCCCTGAAGACACATACAGAAACTCCTGAGGGGGGAAGAACTGTTTCCTAACAAGGCCAGAATGGGTATCATCCAAAGCGAAACTTGAGTCTGTACTTCACTGTCTTGGGGGTTTTCCGAGGTACAGAAAGGGGAACCTTTGGCTTGGTGGGGGTAGGTGGCTTTTTCTTTTCAGGAACAGTGACTGTGAAAGAAAGTTCAGGCTGCTCCGACTGCTTGAACCGTGGTAGGAAGTGGGTGGAGACGTGCTGGGGTTTCACCCGGGGGCTGCACCCGCGCTTGGCTTTCCCTCTCTTATTCAGGGCCACGTACCACTCCCGCCCCGTGGTCTCAGTCCTGTGTATCACTGAGGCATAGGTGTTATAGCTGTTTTCCTGAAATCGCTCCCTGAACTTGCAGTCATCTGTAAACTTGGCCTACAGGAAGAGACAAAAAAAGAGAAAATGTAAATTGTGGTAATATTTCCAGCATAATAAAATGAAGTGTGAGGTCTTCTACCCAAAAGAAAAACCAAGAATTCTACTGATCCCCTTCTTTACACTCCATTCCGTTTTATAAGGACATGGTCTTAAAGCTGCTTGGAAATGACTAGTTTTTTCCCCTATATTTCTACTTTATGCATCTTTGTAACACTGATTTCTATTTACTATGCACTGCTGACATGTTAATGCACGTAAAAATGATAAACAGAATTCTTAATACATTTAAATATTGTGACTATTTTAATAATACGTTGAAATGTATAGTTTAAAAATCTTTTGACATAAGGTTTATTTTTCTCCTAAGTCACCATCAGAAAATAAATAGAACTACATTACTAAGAAACATTTCCCTAGTAAAATGTAAATTTCTGTTCAGAGAGATAGGGTCAAGTTATTCTTTGGAAACAAGCAGAACTTTTTCCTTGTTATCACGGTGATTCATGGTGTTGGGAGGTAGCATAGTACCCTATTAAAATTGCATGTGTTAGAGGTGTTTAAAAAAACATATATCTTCACTTACGTGATATAAGAGAGTATATCTGAAGCCAAGAAAGAAGTCATTGGGTTGACTAGAAAAAATCCAACCAGTTCTCACACACACAAATATCTGCCCTTGGAATGCTCACAGACCAGCTGAATTTTTATCGATGGCCTGTGGGACTTGAGCTCACACTCTTCCCCCATTCTCCTATAGTCACCAGAAGAAAATAAATAGAACTATGTTAAAAGTAGAAAAGCAGACAAGAAGACACCCCTCAGCCTGCAGCGTGATAAGTGGCATATGACAGCGGTATGCAGAGGCACAATGACAGGAGGAGGAGCATCTACGAGGGCGCAGGTGGCCGGGAAGAAGGCAACAAAGTCTTCCTAGGAAAGACGATATTGGAGCTGAGTCTTCAAGTACAAGCTAGACATTAGGGAGGCAGGTAAAGTGAGAAGGGATTTTCAGTGAGCAGGAACAATGTGTTCAGAGGTCAGCGTGACACATAGCTCAGTGCGGCTTCCGCTTAGATGCACGGGGCAGTAACAAGAGGCAAGGCTGCCGAACTGGGCTCGGAGCAGCTCTGACAAAGCTTCATTTGCCATGTTGTGGAATTTGAAGGAATAAGACGTAGGAGAATGGGGAAGGGGTGTGAGCGTGAAGTGCCCCACACATCGATCAGATACAAACTCTGCCCTCTAAGCTCTTAGCCTGAGGCTCCATATCCATGAACTTTACATCCATAGGGCTACTGTGAGAATCAAAGTATTTTTCTTGGGAAATAAAACTCAAAAAATGACTGTGCGAGTCCAGACTACCAGGATTCACAGTTTTAGGGGTTATCATTAGCACAGGAATTCCTAGGTTTGAAAATACCAAATATTCTGTCCCCTAGAAGTCAACCCCCACTATCCAGAACTCAAGCAACCAGAATGCAACCAAAAAAAAAAAAAAGAAAGAAAAACATCATCTACTAGTTTCAAGTTAATATTGAGTACACGGGATGCTTGCTCTCCATTCTTGAGATACTTTACTAAGCAGAATGTTCTTCAGCCCCATCCGGGTAAATGCACAAGATGTAAAGTCTTCAGAACAGAAAGACACAATTAAACTCAAGAAGGAGAGGAGAGAAGCAATGGGTTATAATGTAGGGCCACTGCCACACCTCCTGCGTGAAGGACTCAGCTGCAGCAGGGACTTCACCTAACAAATGCAAATGAGATGGCCTAAACACATACCCTCCTGACAGTCCAACATCTAAACAAATTGTAATGATAAATAAAAATAAAAAAGCAAAACAACATAAAAACAAGGGTTTAAACCTTGCTGCTCCCATTATGTTCTCTGTAGCAGTTGAAGCGTGAATGTGTGTTCCTTAAAGTTAAAAATACGTGGTAGTGAAGTTGAAAGGTGTATTGACTGCCCTTTAACTAAGATTGTACTGTACACGGCATTGCCAAAGCTGTTTTATAATAAGACTGTGTTATAGAAAGTGAAGTTTGTCTTAATTTGCTTTTAATTAATGCATTACAATATTAGTATCAAGTCAATACAGAGTGTATGGTATGGTATAGAGTACACAATTAGGGGTAATTTTTAATAGTAACTCTCAAGCAATGGGCAACTATATTTTTTCACAATCTACCAATCCCCATGGGCACCAGATAAAGGGGAGATTACTGTATTATATAAAAACACTAAAAACCACATCCTTCTATATTAGACTGAAGAACTCCTATAAAAGAACATTTTTTTCCCCTTGCTTTTTCTAACAATGTCAAACTCTTCTCTGGAATACAAATTACAACACTTAAATTTGAGAGTATGAATGCTGCTGCGAGGCCATCTGTGGAGACCCACTGTGGAAGTCCTCACGGAATTTCTGACTTGTGCAAAGAACTGACAGTATTGGGAGACAACCGATATCAGAGCCTGTCCAACAGTGTGTCAACCTACGTACAACAGTTTACTCAAGTCACTTCCATTTAAGTATAGTTCAGTCAATAAAGCTCTTTATTTAGGGGCGAGAAAGCTCACCCATAAGACCTGGGTGGATCTCTGGATTTGACCTTGAGCAGGCTGAGGCAGGGGTTTCAGAGAACCACCGTCTATGTCCATAATCCCTCTCATCTGCTCTGCCAACCTGCCAAGGCTGCTCCACTGACATCCCTTTAGACAATCACACTTGTATTGTTCCTATTTCTCATGAAAAAGACTTTGCTACAAGTTAAGTGTAGGTTTTTCTAAAGCTGCTTAGTTCTAAAAGAGCTTTCCTAATGGATAATCCCATGTTTTACTTTAAAATAAAAGTTATAACTTTCTAGAATGCTTTTGGCTCCATAGAAGGATAGTAAGCATTTTAGAAAGGTGTAGAGCATAACATTAAAAAGAGTAGCAGGTAGATACCCTGCCTCAGATTTTTTTCCTAAAATGCAGTAGAATGATATTTAAAAATATCCAGAGTACATTTTTTTTTACCTTGACCTAACTTCTGTCCCCAATCACAAAAACAGTGGTGATCACTTTATTCAATTTTGACAAAGTTGTGTTTCTAAAATTTACTGCATTATTTAACTTTTTTTCCCCCCACAGCATCCAAAAAGGTAAAGAACAGGTCGATTTATAATTGATGTGGCTGACAGAAGTGCACCTGCTCGCACACAGGGCCCATCCAACCAATTCCATTTTAGAGTTTCTCATAGAAGAGAAAAATCAGTCGTACCACCTCCTAAGATTATTACATCTAAAAGTTTTCTCCCTGCCTTCGCAAGATTCATATGCTCAAGTTTTTTCTTAAGACGAGGCTTTTAAGGATTTTTCAAGGGTCACCCAACTGTTAAGCAGCTAGAAATGTCCAGGCTCCTGAAGACCACACACTACATGCTTCCCCTCGGCCCTTCCCAGTCCTGCATTAAAAACCGGAGTAAAGGCAGTCAGGCTGTTTTGGTTTTCCTAATTGACTTCTACATTAATGTTTTGTCTGAAAACCTTTCCAAGCTAAATGGAACAGAACCATTTGAAACACACATTTCAGCAAATGTTTTCTCTAGGAGATCCAGTTTCCTCATGAAGGATCTATGTTCCCATCATCATGTCCAGCCTTCCTGAGACAAGATTGTGACCCAAAGTGGTTTTGCCTTTGTTTGTAACACTGTTCATAAGGCATCATCACAGCAGAAAGTCACAGAGCAGCACAGATCTTAGCTGCAGGTACAAAAATACATTTACCATTAGACAATGTAGGATAAAACATTTTCCAGGATAATTTTTCATTCTTAAAATCTCCTTTAAATTATAAGAAGTCCTTTAACAAAATACATACTTTGAAAATAATAGAACCACATTATTTCCTCAGAAAACAAATGAAGTCGTTACATAGACTTTTGCTTCGAGCGAAGGTGTGAAGTCGAAAGATGGAGTCCAATGTCAAATAAGCTATCAGAACCCCATTCTTTCATTGTCCTATTGCCCTATCACCATCAGTAAGTAGGACAGAAGTCATCATTGAGATGCTGCTACAAAGTTCCTGCCTTTGTTTCAAGTTCATTTTTTCCCTAATTATTCAACAAGTGTTTATTGATTGCCTATCACACGCCAGGCACCACTTTTACAGTGGAAAACAATATCACTCTTGCTTTTTGTTCATTCGAATTATCTGTATTTTTCTCTTTAATTTCTCCTTGATCTTGACAGTGTAAACACAAGTTGCATTCAGCCAGCCATAATCACAAATTTAAAATGAAATAGTCCGATCACCTAATAGTTTGTAGCTTAGTATACTCATAATTGACAGAAAACAAAACTTAAAGTATTGCTGTTTGAATATCCAAAGTATTAATAGTTAGAGAAGGGGGAGCACTGCTATGAAGGGAAATAAGTTTCTCATTCAAAGAAGAACCTGTCTGGGCTCCCCTCATCTCTTCTCACAGTGAAGAGTCCATGGATATTTAAAAAGAGGGTCAAATTCGGTTGAAAGAAAGCAAAACGTTTCTTAACTAGAATATTCCAGAAAAGCCTAATTCTGCCAAATTGAAATCAAACAGTCTATTAAACTAAAAAGTAAATTATTTCTAAAATTATATTGTTAAAAAAATAAACTCTCTAAAATCTCTTCTCATTCCTTAGTAAATATCACATTCTAGGACAATTAAGGATCTTGTAAGTGAATGAATGGAGGTTATCCAAGCGCCGATTCTCATTAGGTATGATGGTAGAGGTAAAGACGCAGTGTACGAAGTATAAAGATGAGAGGGAATTTGAACTGGAATTAGGATAAACTTTGGAGTTTATGGGTATTTAATCAATTGTAATTCTTTATTTCATTTTGTTTGCCTTTTTCCTCAAAACCCTTATGTAGTTAAGAAAAAAATGACCAAATCTAAATAATTCAAATGTTATTATAGACTTACATATCCTTAAAGAAAACGTTATTATAGACTGTATAAAAACAATT